GTAGAGAAAAGTGCGTGCTGGATGAACTAGCACTGGAGAGGGCAAGTTACAGAGCCAGCAAAGCCAGCAGGGGCATAAAGGGAGATAATGAGTTGTGCCTTCCTAGAGAAATTCCCTTGCCAGAGTCAGCGGAGGTGTACGTGCTCACAACACCAGAGTCAAAATGAAGGCATTGGAGATGCTGCTGAGAGTCACCAGATTCCAAAGGGAGGTGGTGTGAGTGGAACACACGTGCTGCCAACGTCCTGCAAGGGACAGTGGAGAGCCGGCGGAGGCAGAGCGCTGGGCGGTCAGCACCGGGCCCAAGAAGGCAAGGCCAGCAATAATGTTACAGGCAAACATTCCGGGGTAGAGCTGGAGCTGCGATCTATCATTAGCTTGAACTCTTTCAGAAGGCCTAAGTGTATTATTTAGTATTAGATAATTTAAGAATAGTAGTGAGCAGTCAGTGGGGGTAGCATTAGATAGCAATATAAGCAAAACTTCAACCAATAAAAGAAACCAATAGAGGCGACTTGTTCACTTAGCTTTTACATAGGCTACTCAGAAGTTTCTAAGACCAGAAAACTTCAGGCCTTTTCTCAAGTCACAAAAACAGTTCAATACAAACTGACCAACAGGCATGTAGACCTTACTCAGATTAAGAAAAGATGACATGAATCATTCGTGATTGCTTTAAACAGATGGGGCTTACTTTGCCAGTGACTAAGGTAACATAAGCAGGGCTGTGCCCTCAACCCGCACCCAGGGAAAGGTTTCATCTGCAGATATTCTGTAGCCTTGCCTGACTTCCTTTTCAGTGTTCTCGCGAATAACTTTTACATTTATTTCAGAACCTGTATTTTTATTTTTGTTTTATATCCCTGTAATCTCCGGTTTCATATCACCGTCACAGAAATTTCCTGTGCCATATCATTAGTATGTTGTTCCTTATTTACTCATAGCATACCAAGTAAAGCTCCCTCTATCTAGTACTGTAAGAGCCTGTCTCTGGGGTGACTTCCCTGAACTCTGGTTCCCAGTGACTACCTGGGATAAACAGCAGAAAAGAGTCACTGCATTCAGGGTGCAAGACAAGGACCTGGAAATTGCTTTGCAGGGCTGTAAAGTTGGTTGGTTGGGGTGATGTAAAAGGTGAAGTCTCTTCCTTTTATACCTCCTGCACTGTTAGGTCGGAAGAGGCCCAAAAGTGTGACATCCGAATGTGTCACCAGGACTGAGGCCAGAAGCTCATCCATTCCCAGCATCAGGCTGTATTTCACAGGAGATACAATCTGTATGAACCAATAAACCTCTGCAAAGCAAAGCAACACTTGGCTTTGCACTCCATACCTGTGATGCTTTGCCAAGTCAACTTCACAATTACCAAATGTCTTCTTGCAAGATCTCAGACCTTTCCCTCCTACTTTTTTGTAATCAAACTTTATTACCTCTATCACAGGGAAAACCATGCTGCTGAGAAGCCTCAAGCAGAACTAAACAGGAAAGAGCAAGAAGCGTACTCTTTCCAGCTGCCAAAGCTAAGCTGCTTTCTGCCTTAGCCATCCTCAATGTGAATGCTTGTCTCTGGTCTTCCTGTTTCCCATCTTTCCTTTCAACACTGGATTTAGTGTCTAAACAAAATATCCTTTTTGCTGCCTCCAGTGACATGCTGACTTCTCTTTAAATCTGTTTACAGGCTCACCATCCCTTCTGGCATCAAATCCTCACCTTCGCTTTCAAGCTTCCACATGCCATGACACCCACTTGCTTTTCTTCTCTGCTTTCCCTTGACTCCTTTCACTTAGTCCCTGGTTTTCTTTTGTTGATTCTCTTCGCAGTGCTTTCTCACCTGTACTTATCTGCCCAACACAATTTCATAGTCCTCTTTTACTCACATTACAATCACATTCCACCGAAACGTGGACAGTCACTGGACACTGATGCTAGGGTGCACTCAGTAGCTTACAGCGCTGAGCAAACTACTGGTGGTTAAATGGTAATGAAAGGAGAAGACAACAGAAGGGATGGGAAGGGGGCAACGGTTAAATAAAGGATGAGAGAGAGTATTGCCAGTAAGCAATAACCATGCAACATGAACAGAAGCTGGGAGAAGTTGAACTTTCAGAGTAGGAGGAGGAAGCAAATGATAAGGAGAGAGTGGATATTGATCCACAAGTGGATACTTAATTTAAAAGAAAAGGACAAGAATACAAAAATTAATCCATTTTCATTTTAATAAACTTGAAGTTACTAATAGGGTCAAAAAGATTGTCAGCAGCCTTTGTCAGCTTTACACTGGTAATATATGACTGTTTAGAACAGTTTCTCAATGTTCCCCATGAAAATTGGAACAACATCATTTTTTTCTGAAGAAATGTCCTATTGGGGTGAAAGAAATTAAGAATAGTGAGCTGATGGTTTAGGATCTAATTCCCATGACTAATTACACAGCCATTTTCTGTTTTTTCTATACATACTTCTAGCTGAGGGGCACTGGTGTGAAGTTTATTCCTAGAAGGGCATTCGTTGCGACTCTCACTACACCCAAACACTGCCACTGGCATCTTCCCTCTGCCTCACTCTCCCAATGAGAGAGAAAATCCACTGGCTTATTTTAAGGTCACGGCTCAGGAAGGCATTCTTACCACATTTTTAACGCATAACTCAGAAGGATGTTAGCACTGTATGCTTTTTAATCTCCAAGTTAATATAACACAAAATTGCATTAAAAGGCCGTTATGTTGGAAGGCACAGCGAGGTTAGGAAATGGTGGATTGAAGTTGCCTGCACATCCTGACTGCTGAACTGCATCATGATCCAGTCTTTAGCTACACAACTGCACACTTGCCCTCTGAGCATCCATATAATATTTCTTTGTTGTCATTATTCAGTGTGGCCCAGGCCCTATTTCCTGCACATTACTCAAAACCTGTGCTGAACACAGAATTAATTTTATAAAGGTTTTCTTCATGGCATTATCTTGATTGTTTATAAGCAGCCATGAGTTTGATTTCTCAGTGACCACCTGAGGTGAGGGGATGGTATCATTCCCATATTACAGATGGGGAACTGAGGCAAGAGTGCTAAAGGTGTACACTGCTTGTAGGAGATCAAGCAGAGAAGGCTGGCACTTGAATTTTCAAAGTCATGAGTACAACACAGACCTTAATGATCCAAAGAAGATCTCTGCCAGCTTTAGATACATCTTTGAGCATTCAGCATGCCTGAAAATCAGTTTCCACATGGATAAAAAGCAGAACATACGATACACATACATCAATGACCGTATCACAAATCTCTGCTGCTTCCATGTCTAATATCAAGTTTGAGGCTTGTCCTTCCCTGTGGGAACTGAGAATAGGCAAGTGAGGTGACATGCATTTTGCCAGTGGGTTTCGCAAGGATTTATTATGCAAAGTGGATTGGTGAGATGACAGTTCTCAGATCAAGCCCAAATTTTACAAGGAAATGTATTTAGTGGTCACACACTCTTAACCTCCAAGCCCTGTTCCTCTGCAGCCAGATTTCTTCTGCCCTTACGCTTGTCCTGTTCCCAACCCTCACATACCTGTCTCTGCTGTGTGCCTTCATCCGTACGTTTCTCCGCAGGCTCCTTATCCCAAATGCTCCCTCTTCCCACTGCCTCCCTCTTTTTGACCCTACGTTCTCACCTGCCTTTTCCAGACTCCTCAAGCCTGCTGTGTTTCAGCTCCCAGTTCTCTGCGGTCTCCTGTTCCTGGCCTCTTTGCTCAGTCAGCCCTCAAATGCTTGGTTTACAGCTCCCATGCTCAGTTTTAAGCCCCATGAATTTCTCAAAAGATTTCTTCTGCAGTCCAGCAGAGCTCCTGCTCAGTGGTTTATCCCTTCTACGCCCAGATTTGAGAAAAGAGTCTCCCTTAATTCAAGTTTCCAGCTCCAAATTTGGTGTCACAGAAACTCTTGGCAGGATATGAAGTCTGGGGTATGTACAAGGTGGATTGAATTTCAGATTACATAGATAAACTGTAACTGAAAGCAATAAACACTGGGAAATCTGATCATAAGCAGCGATTCCAGATCAATCTTTTCTGGTTTCAGCATCAACCTGTCCACCCTGTAATTACACTCTGAATATGCCCCTTTCACTGATGCTTTAAAAGACAAATTTAAACTGTTTAGATAGTAACTGTTGCTAGGAAAAGGAGTATACCACATAAAAATACCCCCAAAAATTAACGAGTAGAAAAAGCTTTAGTGTAAGCCTAAGGTCCAACCTGGAGTTTTGATGATCCCTTTGGATGAACCTATAGCATTGCAAACATGAGATTTTGTAAATACAGTAAGAAAAATTTGATGTATCAATGGAAGTTATGAAAACTAGATCAAAGTACAACATCTCAGCCTCCCATTTAAATTCTTTTTTCACTCTTGCTCACAACTGATATGAATGGATATGACTTTTGAAGCAGAGTCCCATGGCTGACTAGCAAAAAGGCAAGGGGAAAGCAGATGTGCTCTAGCAACCAAAAAACGTTTAAGAAAAACCCTGGAACCCTCCCAGGCCCACGGTTGTCCTGCTGCACACTCGGTTCAAATCCTGCTTGGTCCTGTCTGCGTAAATGCAGACTGACTGCAGGACTGATGCTTGTACTGCTTGCATTTGGCAAGAGCTCTGCGTTTGAAATATTAAAAAGCAGACTCTTCGTTCCTGCAGCTCCCCCACCGCGTCTGGGACCACTAGATGGCAGTTCCCCATTTAGGAACGCGGGCTCTGGTTCCCTGTTTGCTGCTGCCCGGCATTCGTGCCAAGCAGCGGGGAGGCACGCATCTGCATCTGCCTCCGCCTGTTGTCTGCAGCACAGGCTTCTTGTGGAACTGTTGACGAGAGCGGCTCCGGGCCAGCGTCCTACCTGAAGGATATACAGCTTTGCACTCTTAAATGACGACAGAAGAAATTTCCACAAGCACCCTGATGGGTGCTAAATACTACACACAGGGCTTATTGACAAGAGAGGTTCTCCACGTCCTGTCTTACTTACCCAGAATTTTACGAGGAAGAAAGCATTTTGGGGCCCCTTCCCAAACAGTTCCTTCAGACCGCCCTTCTTTTCAGGAAATTTGTCATAAATCTGACGAATGTCCACTGATTCAAGCAACGGGTCACTGTAAGAATGGTTAGCGTGTCCAATGTGTACGAAGAGGTGTTTATTGTACTGCAAGAAAGAAACAGGGAAAAAAAAGAACAGAGGTTTATTACGGCATGGGTCTGCGTGTGCTCCCGCGGAGGGTAGCGCGCTTTGATGGATTAAATGACTCGCACATTACTCCTGGGACTGTGATTTTCTGCAGTACGATTTCCATGAACAACTTAGTGATTGTGTTGTAGCCTCTTGTGAACAAGGGCCAACATCAAAAAACCTGTGTCCCTGCTGCAAACCACAGAACATGGTCATCTTCAAGGGAGTAATTTTCACTGAAGGACCCAGCGGCAGCATGGTGACAAAGAGCCTTTCACAGAGCATAGTAAGATGAATATGCTCACGAGGAAAGCCTATTTCTGTCTCTTTAAACCATGCCTTTTAATGTCTCATGTCCTCAGAGCCTGAATTTCTGCTAGTGCCACAGAGCCCACATGTATACGCCTCCTGTTTGTCTATTAAAAAACCCCAAACCTCTATCTATAGCATATGCTAATGCCACTTAACTAGAAGAGATGGAAGCGATTTTCTTTTGACCCCAGAATAACAACAACATGAAGGCCAGTTACTCTGTGTTGCTGTTACTACAGTTGTCCTCATTGTAAGTCCTCCAGTGTTTTGACTCATCTAATATTAAAGAGCCAAACTTCTACCACTTCCCTCAAGAGCTAGCTCTATAGATGACCATCTCTGCCATAACACATTCAGCTTCAATTTCCTATTTCTTCACTTTACCCCATCGCTCCTTATTACAATCGTGGGAATCACATCAGCAACCCCTCTTCTGCCTAGGGGAAATCCTTGGCCCAGTGAAGTCCACAGCAGGCCCCTAATGAGTCTGATATGGTCTTTTAGGGGCTGCCATTTCTCCACGACAAGAGCACCTTTCAGCACCTGAAATGAAAGCGGAAGGATGAGCCTTGAACACCCTCCGCTCGTCAATCAGCAGATCCCAGTGTCATGTGAGCACACTGAAGGAACTGGAGAGTGGCAGGATTAAACACTGGGGGTTTTAACCATGCAAATCACAAAACATTTTGCTAACTCAATTAAAGGAAAGCTGATATGTAGTCAATGAACACTGGAAAACCCTATCATATTGAACAGATGCTGTATATCAGGAGCAATTCCCAAAAGCTAAGCACAAATAAAATATTTAAAACTCCCAAGCAGACCTCATTTAAGCTGTTTTCTTTACAATATACCTGCCGAATCAACAAATTGAAATGACAAATCTAGATTGATTGGACATCTACTCAGAGCCTTCCTTCAGTGTAGATGGAGTCTTCCCTAGCAGATGTCCAAAACTCTGGGGAAAAGGAAAAGGACTGGCTAGATTTCTGCACTTATGAAATTAAATTGAAATCTATTTAAAAATCATCTAGCACAGTGAAATCCGAATTTAGAAACGGAGAACATTCATCTGTGTATGGGTCCAAAAATGAGATATGTTCCGTGCTTTATACAGGAGTTGTATTTCTTTTTTAATTTTCTGGAAGGAAAAAGGAAAGCGTAACACTTTATTAAGGTGTTTGCACAAGCAAGTCCAAGTCTGAGAGAACTGGTTCCCCAGATTTTCCTTGCAGCCCTCTTTCAAAATAATGCCATCTCAGCTGCTTCTGTGAACAAGTGGAAAACTTGCCCAGCCTTTACTTGGTGCGTGTGCAGCCCATAAGGATCCCAGCCGATCCAAAGGACCTGTTTCTACCTCGAAGAGGAAAACAGGCATGGCAGAGAAATACATTGGCGGTGGGGAGCTGAACGCATGCATGCAGCAGTGAGCGTGCCCACGAACGTGTGCCAGCTAGCCCTCACCCAGCACTGGTCTAGCTTGCATGCTGCTCATTTACACATGATACAGTAGAACATTATACTAGTTGGCAACCATGAGTGTTCACCATAACAGTGTCCGTGGTCAGATTTAGCATGTTACTTTATGCAGTAGTGGCAATGGTGGACTGAGGAGACATTTTAACATGACAAAACAAAAAATGCAAAATAATATGAGAAAGCACCATGGCTCCAGCTTTCTTTTTTTTTTTTGACTCTGTAGTCACATATTTAGCTTTCAGTACTGTAAGTAAGTAACTAAAAGTCACGCTGAACATTTCTAATGTATCTTGCTGTCTACTGAAAAATTTCGATCTGAATAGAACATACCAGCGCCCTACACACCCGGGAACTGCCAGAACGCAAGAAAGAGACCCCAGAAACCTGCTTCTGTTGCTTTTCTGAGTTACCAGGGGTGAAGTGCAGGAGGACAGGGCACAGGCTTGGGTCACCAAATGTGGCTATCAGTGGAAGCCTATCTGTGATCAGGCAAACATCTCCATTTTTCAAGCAGAATGATCAGAATTCTCCAGTAGAGGTAAGCACTTTAGCCTTCTCTGAAAAATTAAACCGAAACATTTCCCTTTCCCCAGGACCCCTGTAGCCTGCCTAGCAGTGCCCAGCAGTTGTGCTCTCCTTGGGGACGTGGGATGTCCCAAAGCATCTCTCTTCTCTCCCTCATTCAGAGTAAGGGCTTGAAATACCATCCCCACCATTAGTGACCAGGTTATTATTTATTTTGGGATTGTTTTCTCTCAGTCTTCTCTGCTGGAGTTGTTCCAGATTGTACAAATAACCACATTTTTTATCAGAACAGAACTGAGGGCTCAGGTTCTCCTGTGCCCAGGAAAGTGTCCTCGCCAAAAGGGTGTCTCTCTCCTGGGCCCAAAGGTGGCCATGGAGTGAAAGAGGAAGGGAGAGCTGTATTTTACAGTTTGGCAACTGCAAATTCCCAAGACAATTCACACACTGTACCTTATTCTGTAAACCAGGAAAATATACAAATTGCTCAGTATCCAAACTTCAGCAAAAGCAAACACATTTATGGGAATATGGAGCATGAAGTCTTAATACTGTTTAAATATAAAAGCAAAGTTACAGGCAGCTGTAAATCTACCACAGTTGTCTGCGGAGCTCGCCAAAGTACCAGATGCTGCTGCAGCAAAATTTCCAAGCGGGTACAGTAGGACAGATGGTATGACATCACCTGACAACATTCTTAGGACAGAAATGTTTATATTGATATTGCAATGTGTGATTATTTTCTCCTTATGTTGCTGCAATTCCTATGCTAAGTACAATCATTACTAACCTAATTAGATATGGCATATTTCTACGAACTAACAAACGATAATGTAGTATTAGGAGCAGAGTAAATGGATACTGAAATGATCCCTATCTTTTTTATACAAACATACTTCATGACAGCAATTTATGTATAGATAAAAGCAAAGAAGTTAAGTTTTATGCCTATATTTTTGAGCCCATTAGTGTCTGAAAAGCTTAAAAAACCCCTCACTATATTAAGAATTCACTGTTATTTTAGACTGAGTATTCCAGAGTCACTGAAATACATTAGGTGCTGAGGAATTTACTCATGCTATAGCATTTAAAGAACTTGCATCCAGCACTGGGGTAATAACATGCTTTAAATGCTGTAAACCACCATAGGTAAAATCCTGTATTTTCTGAGGGTAAAAATTACATAAAAATACAAATAACATTTTCAGCCACGTCTTCAGCATCTGCATTACACGACATGCCCTGGAGATGGCTGCCTTTTACTGAGCTCCCTTCCTTAGAAAAATTCTAACTATTCAAAGAATGCAGTAAAGCCATGAAATATGACTGTTGTCAAATAATACCACGAGAAAAATTATAATCCACTTAGGAATTTAAAAGAACCAAGACAAATTGCCAATGGCAGGGGATGCAAGTATTTAAGCTGATGCAGAACAAAGACAAATCACCTACATTTGTTTTATCAGCCAACATACATATTTGTAACAGTTCCTCACCAATTTTGCACTTATACTCTAAGGCAACAGCCTTTCTGGTCCATGAAACACAGGTTTGCAAGTCGTTACAGCTCTCTCTGCTGCATCCCTGTGCTTCTCCACACCTGTGGAGCTAATGCCAAGCCTTTACAAGCCTGTATTGAACCAAGTTTTTTACTAAATAGTGGTGGCTAAGATGCAGGTGGCAGTGAAGCCAGTCCCCCATGCTCCTGGTGCAGGTGAGCTAGGCGTGCGGAGCTTCTGGGGTACCTGCTCCCTCGCTGCTCCTGCCCACTGGGGCTGTGTGGCCCTACAGAACCATACTGAGCAGCACATAGAGGGGTGAGTAGCTCCTGAGGTCATGCCAAGGCTGGGTGTCACAGATGTGGAGCAAGGTGGCAATGGCAGCTGCTTCTGCAGGGATGGCCTTGCTCATAGGCACAGCACCCTGACCGCAGGACGCTGCACCCTCCCGCTGCACCCATGGGCACAGCCGTGATTGTCACCCCCCACTGAATCCCACTCGCGCACCCAGGATGGCCCAGTAACAGCACTTTGCTAGCTGGGCTGCTTCATGAGAACTGTAGGTTCCTGCAAACTTCAAGCATAACATCCATGAGGGTGAGGCTGTCTATATCATTACTTGCAGCAACAAATCCCTGTGAGAAAATACCACAGGGAGAGGCTGGCAACTTGAACAGATATTGCGCGCCCAAAGAAACTCCACCACCCAAAGGAGAAGCACATTAAAAAGGCTCTGCTGCAGGTCGTCTCTCTCCCTGACGCAAAGGGACAGCCTCTCTGCTCTCTTTCCACTGAATATATTCCGTGCTGGAGGTGAGAAGGACGATCACTGCAGCTCAGAGGGACAGGTGAGTGGAAGGCAGGTGGGACAGCCTGAGCTTTGCCTGGAATCATAGAATCATAGAATGGTTAGGGTTGGAAGGGACCTTAAAGATCATCTAGTTCCAACCCCCCTGCCATGGGCAGAGAAATCCTCCACTACACTAGGTTGCCCAAAGCCTCATCTAACCTGGCCTTGAACACTTCCAGGGATGGGGCATCCACAACTTCTCTGGGCAACCTGTTCCCGTGCCTCACCACCCTCAATGTAAAAAATTTCTTCCTTATATCTAATCGAAATCTCCCCTCTTTCAGTTTAAATCCATTGCCCCTTGTCCTATCACT